TGTAGCCGACTTTGGACAGCTGGGCGGGGCCGCGCCAAAATTTAAGAATCGAGTGCTCGTTGCAGGCAATCCCTGCTTGCAGAAACTGATTCGATACATCCCCGAGGGGCTGTCCTATGTTCTTAGGTAACACGGCGCCGAAGAGATTTGGCACTGGCACTGGGGCCAAGCAGGCAGAGAAGAAAGCAAAGCAGACGCCGTTTGAGACGTCCCCAAGCAACATGCGCATGGCGCAGATGCAGATCAAGGAGCCATTTCTAAAATGGTTGCCTATGGAGGAGCGGGACATTAAGTTGAACAAGTATGTCGGGGGCCGGTGCGATTTTGAGGGAATAGACTGGCTGCTGAGGAAGTGGGTCCTCCCCGCTTTGGACGTTGTATGTGACACGTTTGGCTACGACAAAATCAAAAGAAATGCAGACAAGGCTCAGTAACACTATTATCCCGTGCTTGATAACAATGCTAGCCAAGCAGGATAAGTCGGACTCGAAAAACAAGGTGGGCTGCGATCCTGAAACAATCTCTCTGATTGATTTGGACGATACGTTCAGCGGCACGCAGCTTGCGGCGCTCTTCAAGCGGGGTCTGCAACAGATGGACCTTGGTTTGGCAGCAGCACCGCCCCTGTCGAAGCGGGTGAAGGACTTGCTCGAGGAGCGCGACAAGGTGGCGGGGAAGCTGCTGGCTCTGCTCAAGGCCATCGACAGCGAAGTGTCGCCTGCTGGGGAGGATGCCACCAACAGAGGCAGCGCGCGTACAAGCCCTCGTCCAGAAGAGGATGAGGACGGGGTCACGTTCAGAGCTCAGGAAGGCCTCCCAGGCGATGTGAGCGGAGCAAAGTTGGGCGAGGGAGAGGAGGGAGACGAGGGAGAGGGGGGAGAGGAGGGAGACGAGGGAGAGGAGGGAGAGGAGGGAGACGAGGGAGACGGAGAGGGACCCCAAGGAGGAGATGCAAAAGCGTCTGAGGCCATGGATGAGGACACTGTCAAGGTTTGTCTGCATAGCATTGCCATTTCAAGCTCCAAAACTTGTTGGGACTGCAATGCTAAATTCAAGTCCGCAGGATGCATAGGTGTACATCAATGCGCAACAGTCCCTATGCAGGTTTAGGATCTTGGCAAACATTCCCTGCAAGACCTTCTCCTTGTAGTAGATTATCGGTATTCCATCCTCAAGCACTGCAGCAAAATTGTAACGATTTCTGAAGCACTGCAGGAAGACCTCAAGCCTGAACCTAGCCTGCTTCTATGTGCCTTCCATTTGCTCTTTGCTACCTTGTCTGTTGATTTTTGCAAGTGATAGTCAGGCTTGCCCTTTGACTAAATTAGTTTGACTTGTTCATTCATCTCCGTAGGAGGAGGAGCAGACAAGAGGGGAGGCCATGGTGGAAAACTTCAAGGAGCACATTAAGCTCAATTACGATGACGAAAAGGTGAACTCCTTTGACAAGCCTCTACATCTGGCTGATCTCGTGCATTTGGTTGATCTTGTGCAGTGTCCGGACTAAAGTTCAGGTGCTCCTTGTCGTCTGAAACCAAGGTTTTGGTCCAGTCATTGTGGATATTTGAAGCAGCTAAGCCAGCATCAATAATAGCGTTCGCATCGCAATCGTATCATACTGAAGCCTACCGCATTTGCTGATTGTTTTGGGTTTTCTTACAGATGGTTAACGAGGAGCCCAATAAAGACGAGGTAAGGACAGTGCACATCTTCTGTCCCATCATGCTGCAACAAGGAGGATTTGTGATGCAACCTGCCTTTCACCTGCGTTCAACCAACTTCAAACAGGCCACTTCGTTCAGAGTGTTGTAGCTGGCCAAGAATGTTGTGGCTGTTCCTTGAGCTTGCTGCTTATTGTGTACAGGTTGAAACGCCAAGAGACACATCAGCAGCTGCGGCGCCAGCGGAGGTGGGGGACAGCCCAGGAAGCTCCTATGGGCCGAGCCATCGCCATGAAGACGACAGTCGGGGCCTCCTACCGCCGAGGTCCACGATGGACCTCGGCACGTACGTGCACGTCACGAAGCTGCACGATGACTTCTTGAAGAATGTAAAGGAGTGTAAGGGGGACGATACTGTAGCGGTAGGTACAGCTCTTTGGTTATCCCCCTTTTGCCCTTCACATGCTTAATGCAAGACTGAATGCTCTAATCTTAGTAGGAGGATTTTAGCACAGCTAGTTCGCAGCAATCTGAGTATGAGCTATCGTGATGCATGCCGTGATTGGGAATCGCCCTTGAAGATAGGGCTGCTGCTGTATTTCAGAAGCGGTGGCGGTATCTGGACTGGAATTTGTGGGCATCCGTTAGGTTGTCTTCAGAGCTTGTAGTCTGCAGAAGCGGTATGTAGAGCAATGTTTTCCAACAATGCAGAGCATTATCTCACCTTAGTCCTGATCTCCGAACCATTTGGCAGGAGTGGCGTTCGGGCAAAGGGAACGTGAGCCAGGTTGTGTTTTACACGACCGAGTATGCGAAGTACAACGTGGAGAATGGACGATACGGGTCCATTTACGGCCAAGGGTATAACGTCAAGAAGTGGGTGGGGGCAGAGAACGTGCCAATGGCGGTCATCAAGGTAAGCTTTCGAGGGGCTGTGCTTCTCATTTGTGCTTAATTCCATCGTCGGAACGTGTGCTGGCTTAGCTGTAGGCTATCATACTCTTGAGTTGATGAGGCCTGAGTGTGAAATCTCATCGGACCATGACTACCCAAGTTTGTGTGGGACAGTGTATAAACTTCTGACGCTACCCATTTTGTACTCTACCACCTGAACGCTTTAGGGAAGATACTTCTGATTCCGGGGTTTTTCTAAGGGGTTCTCCTAACCCAAAGGCCTTAACCCTTGGTCAAGGTTACCCGTAATATCTAAGCGTAAACCATGTTTAATCCACCTTGTGAACAGGACAAGGTTACTGTTGTAATGCAAACAGAGAACGAGACTGTTCATACATAAAGAATTGGTGAATTAACAAAGTAAGCGAAGGGTTTTTCCATGCTGTGCTGTAAGGCCTCAGGAAGCTTGTTTGTCCCGCCGAGGAGGGTATCTTCTTCTGCTCTGCAGGGTTGGAGACTTCCCCTCTACTTTTCAAGACTCCCTCCTGCTTCTTGTTGTGCACGCCCTATTTCAGGCCAGTGTATCCCGTTCCTTGATACTTTTTGGCTCTCCCCCTCCCACCTATCAGATACAATTCTGATCCTGGCGTTGTCCTGAATAGTGAAGCTCTTTTTTAGAATCCTCCCTGCTTGTGTCCTGCCGATTGTGGCATTATTGTTGGTGCTTCCTGCCCCTGTAAACATCATGTTGTGCTCCTTCTCAAAGTTGGACCTTGGTGATCTGCACGCCGAGAGAGGGTCTCCCTCTTTTCTCTTGCAGGATTACTCCCTTCCAGAGCATTGCTCCTGCGCCCTGCGCTACTCTCCCTGCCTTTCAGATTAGTCGATTTTCTATTTCCAAGTTTCTTTCTTTCTTTCTTTCTTCCTCTCCTCCTACGACTTTGCTGGTTCCCAGAATCAGCCCAACTCTTGTCAATCGATTTCTTGCACCACACAGTCTGCTCGTGGGTTGCTTGATTTACTCTCTACTCTCTGGTTGCTGCAAAGCTTCTGGAGGTAGGCAGGTTGGCCAAATTTTCTGGCTCGATTGGTCGTGGAAATTCCCTCAAATGCTATTCCCACATGAGAGGCAGCAGTTGGTGGTGCTGGCTGTTCTGCTGTTGGTCTGCTCAGTAGCGGTCTGATAGAGCGTAGTATGAGTGCATTTCTTTCGTCAAGCACGTTGAAAGCCAGGCGACATCTTTATGGGCGTCACTGCTTCTCAATCCACAGATAGGGCAGAACGGCAAGTTGGAAGTGGGGGCCGTCGACGCGGCAAACGAGCAGATCAAGGAGTGGTGGGCTGCGACGAACCCAGGGAAGGCCTTCGACGATTCCTTGCTTACAAGTGCGGCTCAGCTGGAGAAGCTCATTGAGATAGCGGAAAAGAAGCTGAAGAACGAGTGCGGCTTGCCGCCGAACAAGGCGAAGCTGCCGGCGGGCTCTTACGAGCTGGGGCAATTTTACTACATGCAGAATGTGAGTTGGGCACAAGACCTTACCTCTTTGATATTGCGTGATTGGAAGGGGCTATGATCTGGGGACGAATTTGCTCGGCCGGTTCCACAATTGATTGGCAATCTGTCGGCCACTTTCTGTTAGGCTTTGCTGGACTGCAGTACCTTTGGCGTTGTTTGGAGGTAACACGTAGTAGTGCCCTATTGCAGAACTTGAGCGACCTGTAGATTGAGTTTGTTCTTTCTGATTCGTGCAGTGTCACGACTTCCTGACCCTGCCCTTAGAGCATGCACCGGGCCTGTCGACGTATGCCTACCTGGAGGCTGAGCTCCTCATCTCGTTGGGCCAGCGGGCTGCCTCGTGGTCCAAGAAGGACTTCCAGAAGCGCATCATGAATGACTTGAATCGCCGCATTTCGCGGCAGAGAAAGATTCTGGACCAGGGAAACCGAGCCGTGATGAAGAAACACTGGCAGGCGCATGGCGACGCGGCCGACTACGATGAGTTGGTTGTTAGACTAGTGTAAGACAGCAAGCGACTTGTTCAAGACATTCGAATTCGGTCATGAAGTTGGGAAGTTGGTTGGACCAGTGATGGTCTGTGGTGGCCACCGTGACAGAAACTTGTCGAAATGATAGGTGATCAAATGGTTCTTTGTTACTTCTTGATATCCTGTTGAGAGGCTTGTTGAAAAATCGATCGAGTCCTGTACAGCCTGTCTGTCTACAGATTCCGTCTTTCTTACAGCAAGGCACATGGGCGGGCCAGCTCTTACTGCTTGCTGCAACTTTGGTTTGCACGTATGGCATGCAAACCCTGCTTACAGAATGGTGATATTGGCCCAAAAGACAGATTTCAAGTCTGCGCTTGTGAGTGGACACTCGGAACTTTGGATGCATATCGACATGCGAACATGCCATGGCCCGCGATAATCTTGGTGCGCATGATCCGATGATGGTCATTGCCGCTAGAGCTAGGGACATCTTAATTGTGTCAAAATTGCATCTTGTGCTCGCTGCTGCCATCAATATACCATGTCCTTCCCTGTTCGAGTATCCACGCTAAACATCGAGCTTTAGCGCGCCATGTTTCGTGCGACGATATACATAGTCAAGCGGACACGTAAAGGCCGCAGGCTCCTTCCAAAGTAAACGCATGCAGCGGCACATATTGCATCATATCCCACGAGCCTGACGGGACTCAGCCGTGTATGCGCTGCATCCGGCATTTAATAGAGTGGCCTGGGCCCAACCAAACTTAGATCGGATCAAAGTCCAGGCGAACAAACATAAGCCAGAATTTCGTCACAGGGGCATGCATCCACCAATCCTTGCATGACGAGAAGATCGACATCACCGTGACATGATCAATTTTGACTGTACTTGTCTTGCATCATAATCCTTCCACACGTCGCGAGATCGTCCAGCAGCTGGTTCGCTGCGCGGCGAGATATCCGCCGATCCTTAACTTTCACCTTTCTTGACGTACTTGCCGGCCTTGGCCTGCTTGTCGTTTGGTCTCAGCTGCAGCGAACAGGCGGACACGTGTCAGCATCTAAGAGGCTATTGAGCGTTGAAAGCACCTTGACCGATTCACATGAGTCCGGAGAAGAACGACGGTCCCCGCAGGACAAGAGGCCGAGAAGCACGATGACAGGCGCATGTACCCTGCCAAGCTACTTGGTGTGAGAGAATGATTGTGTGCTTTTTAAGGTGTGAGAACTTATGGACGTTACCATCCTAGATGCTGCAAGTTACCTGGAAGGAACGTTTATGTCCCAATTTTGGATGACGCCGGCTCTTCAAAATGCTGCTGCCGTAGGATGTTAAGAGGAGAACTGCTCAAAAGCAACCCAGGACTCGCCGTCCTTCCACGTTGCCTTTGCGTTGACGACCTGGGAAATTGGGACTGACTGCAATACCGAGCTGGTGTAACGGTGTGGAATTGCGAGTGATTGACGAAAAGCGTCGCAGGATCAGAAACGAGTGGATGGGTTGCTTTGCAAACCAGTTTTCCAGCCAAAGAGCTGACGCACATGAATTTGCATAGGAATTTCACAGGCGGAAGCGATGCTGGAAGGGGGTTTCTTCTAAGTTGACGAGAAAGAGGATAATCGTTTTCAGGGTGTGTCATAATGTGGTCAGAGATTGGCCACTCAGGAGGCGGAAATGATACGAAATGAGGATACATGTAAGAACTCGTTTTGCCACTGAATTCTGGAGGTATGTACCGAGTTGGGCGAGAGGGACGGTTGGGATTCTCAGACAGCGTGGCCCCAGCGAATCTGTCGGAGAGCATCTTGATCGGGTTCAGCACAAAACGGGGTACCGACCTGGAAGGAAGACGCAGGGGTAAAAAGCGCGCCAACTAAGGATGCATTATCTTCTAAAAACAACGAAGAGCAGCCCCGACTAAGTGTGATTCAAAGTATAGATCTTGAATCACTCTTGGGAGATAAACCAAGGCTTAAGGAATACGGTGCACGAAAATTTCCTACCACACCTTCCTTGTCAAGGGCCGCGTAACTACAATGTGGCTGGTCACATCACGCCCTTCTTTCCGAAATGCGCTCGCCCTCGCTTTGAAGAGCGTCCTCTTCTAAGGTTGAAACTGGCACGAAGCCCGCAACTCTATCAAAATCAAAAAAGATACTTGTAAGGTGACCGCATTGCAACTTGTAGGGTTGGTTTGAGGGTTGGAGTCGTCACCTGGGGGCACAAAGGAGGATGAACTCCACCTTGTCCACACTGTGGCCCAGCCGCCGCAGCTGGTCCACGTGGCCCCGCGACTGTGCCGCACAATCCAAGAGGGGCAAGTCAATGGGCATGCGCGGGCGTTTGTACAGGGCAGGAACTGGCGCCAGCCAATCGCCTTCAATTACTTCAAAAGCAACACAAAATGATAGTTCAAGGCTCGCACTAGAATGCATCAGAGTAGCGACTTCTCCTGCTGCCGAGTTCAACTCAAATGATTCTTCAGCATGAACTGACTTGGGAGGAGGAAAGGAGGGGAAAATATGACAGACCGCCAATAATCAACCCACCACAATCAGAGCGGCCCCAGCCTCACCTGAACATATGGGTTATACCTTGCGCGGATAGCCCGCATGCTGTTGGGCTCGTACCCAGTGTAGGACTGCGCTGTACTCAAAGTCGGAGTCAGGCCCCCCGGGGCAGTAGACACAGATGTTGCCGGTGGTGGCGATGTGGGGGCAGCGGTGCGGCTTGGACATGATGGCCACCACAGCAATGCCGGACGCGGTGCGAATGGGCTTGGCGCGCAGGCGCGGGATGAGGTCGGCGCGGTGCTCCTCGGGGACGGCGGCGATGATTTCCACCAGCTTCGGGCTCTTGGTGAGTCCATACTTGCGCGACTTCTCCGCTTTGAGCACGTTCAGGTTCACGTCCTCCTTCTCGCGGCTGCACGCTATCAGGCCGTTCACAATCTCCGCAATGGCGCGCACCCGGCACTCCTCAACTGAGAGGTTGGCATACACCGTGCAGTCTTTGCCAGTTTTGACGGACCGCCGTGGAGCGGCCATGCTGCTGGCCGCGCTGCGCCAGAAGTCACTGTTGGCTGAGGACTAGCAGCGTCCAGCACTACAAGCTCCTCCTGTACTGCCTAGCTTGAATATGCTGGCCCCAACAAACCGTTGAAGATAAACATCCTCATAGTACAAAATCTATGTTTACGGATACATGGGACAGGGGCTTTGGCCTGCCCACGAAGACCACCACTAGCAGTTGCTACGTGTAGGACCTAGCCTCTCTGCTCCATTCTCTCTAATAGCGCTGTTGACAGCCTGAGCTAATACCTGCGTAGCATGGTGGGCCGGTGGCAGAAAGTTGGAGTACATTTCGAGCTTCAACTTGTTCAAGCAAGTTCCATTTTCCAAGAAACTGTGAGGAGCCCAATGCCAAATTTATACCGTTACCACAGCGATTACCAAAACACGTCAAACTTTGCAAGCTCGGTTCTACTTGATATTGTTCGCATCGAAGAGAGAACACGGCGTTTATTGCGTGATGTTTTGCTTTTAGTGGTTGAACGGCAAGCAATCCGTTGCAAACCTCTTGCAAATACAAAATGCTGAAAACTGAAATCACCTAAATTTGTCATCTTCCCTTCAGCCTCAGCAGGCTCAGGCTCAGGCGTTTCAGTCTTGTTCGGGAGGGGAAGCTTGGCAAACGCATCATGGCGGAAACCAAGGAAGAGGCTCCTGGTTCTGAAATGGACAGACGCACGGTTTTTGTCCGCAACCTTGCTTTCAATACCACACAAGCTAAGGTGGGTATTCGTACGGCAGCCGGAAGCACACTCGCTTTTCTGCCTGGCCTGGAAATCTGCTCATCCAGCTTACCGAAGCATTTTATCGTACTGTGGGGATGGTTAATGGCTGCTGGCACTCAATCCATTGCGGTGACTACCCCCAATTGCTGGTCTTCTGCATCATTCTGGCCCGAAGTCAAATGACGCAGCCACCATCATCGTGCCCAGTTGCCTGCTTGACCATTACCAAAAATGCTGGCAGCAACGCTACCAATGCATCCACTTGCAATGTGGTCAAATGTGCAGCCGTTCTTTTCCCCTTGCAGTTGGAGGAAGCGTTCTCAGCTGTGGGCCCAGTCCGCAAGTGCTTCCTGGTCAAGGACAAGGGGTCCGAGCAGCACAAGGGCTTCGGCTTTGTGCAATTGTGAGCTGTGGGCATGCGGGCACCTCTGAGATCCGACAGATTGAAGTTCTCAGCTCGTTTTATGTAGTTTCCTCGGTCAGCAAGAGCTTGGACTTTTTTATTGTTCAAAGAATATCTATCTGCACGTGTTGTCTTTTCTCCCCGATCATTTCTTTCTCTCATCAAAGAATGTCGTTGGCTCTGTGATAATCTGTGGCGGAGATTTTGATTAATGAGACATACTTCTTGATCATGTTGATGAGGTTGTTGACTTTGCTTCTCTGATGCAGTGCCCTTGCTGAGGATGCCGAACGGGCAGTGGCCAGCAAGCAGGGGAGCAGCTTGGATGGAAGGACCATCAAGGTGGAGGTAGCCAAAAAGAGGGCGTCCTTTGAGGAGCGCAAAACCAAACGAAGGGAGCCAGGTAAGATCCAAATGTGTCACTAGAACAGCCACGTACTTCAAAGCAACATCAAAGGAGCAGGACTGAGACAAGTTGGAGCCTAATCCTTATGCCCAGAATGTCTCATAAGTGATACTTTGGGCAGTCACTTTCAAAGCTCAACAAGAAAAACTACCGCAAGATTATGTATTGCACCACCATGCGAGTGAAGCTCATGCTGGTCAAGCACTGCTGCAATGCTGCCTGTGACGTGCTTGCCGTTCCTGGCCCTATGCATGAAGCTGCTGCGCTCCTGCAATGCAGGCGAGCCTGCTCCGGGCTTCAAGAAGGAGGAGGCCAGGCCCCCTGGTCCGCCAGAAGGAGCTCCGGAAACAGCGAGCAGGGCGGAGGGGGCCGCGCCAGAGGAGGAGGGAGCGCCACAGGTCGAGAAGGAGCCAAAGTGGAAAGCAAAGAAGGCTGCCCACGCTGCGGTTACTGAGACCGCCCAGGGACAGGAAGCGGGACAGAAGCCGGCTGCCAAACGCAAGCGCGATCGGGTGGAAGGGGCGCCCGCCAAGAAGCCAAAGCAGGAGGGGCATGTCTCAGAGAAGCAGAAGTGAGTCAGCAGCGTCCGCCAGCAACATGGACGTTTGCAGAAACTTGGCTGTGATGAACGGTCGTGGGAAGGTCATTCCGTGAGCATGTGTGACGTAGATTTCCGCTGTGTTTTTGAGGCCGCACTCCCCATGGTCCAGGGCGCTGGCATGAAGGGGTGGCTTCTCACTTGCCTTATGGACGACCCTGTTAATAACTGGTGCCGGCTTTATTGTAAAAGGAATTGCTTCTGTGGGCTTATTCTGTTCGTGTCAAGCGCTGCAGGCCGGCGCGCACGGTGGTGTTTGGGAACCTGGCGACCCCCAAAGTTGTCGCTGCGGTGGTGGCCAAGGTGCGCGCCCTGGGCCAGCTGGAGGAGCTGCGCGAGAGCCTGCCCGACCAAGACCTGGAAAACAACAGTGAGCGCCTGACCCACGCTGGCCCGCCGCGAGCTCGCGGCGAGTCCCCTGTTCGTTTTGGAAGCTGTAGGGGCTCATGTTTGGAGACTGGCTGCAGGCCCCCCTTGGTGTCCAAGCTGTGCATGAAATATGCTTCGGAACCTCAACAGTACTGCCGTTGAGTGACTGGTTGGGAGGCATCCTCCAAGGGTCTCAGTCTGTCTGCCGGCTGCAGGTCTGGCCAAGGATGGCTGCACAGCGCCCGCTGCCTTGGCGGTGTTCCAGTCAGTGCGTGCAGCCCGGGCTGCTGTGGCGGCGTTGCACGGGCAGAAGGTGGCGGGAGAGGTGGTGTGGGCCAGGGAGCTCGGGGGTGAGGTGAGGCCACGACTCAGACCCCTGGGGATGAACGGCTGGCAAGAAGGGTCTGGGAGTATGGCCTCATACGAGCCACGGAGCCTCAACATGATGCTGAAGGGACCTTCCGGTTAAGGGTTTAATGCCTGCCTTTTCTGTGCTTTGGTCGAAAGGTAATCACGTGACTGTTCTGACCATATTTGAAGAAGGGAATCGAAGAGTGAGATACCTCGTGAGAGGGCTGTCAAGTTGTCATCTGGCAAAATGTGTGTTTTCTGTGGCAGGGCGCCAAGCTGAAGAAGTGGCGCCTGATTGTGCGCAACCTGGCATTCCAAGCCAAGGAGTCAGCGCTGCGAGACCTCTTCTCCCAGGCCGGCTTCGTGTGGCAGCTCACAATGCCGCGCAATCCGGAAGGCAGGTCAGTGCTGCAAAGCCCCGCTGGAGCGCCTGCCTCCGGTCACATGGGCGTCGGTTGTGAAGTAGGGTCGCTGTCGTGTCAGGCCAAGTTTGTGGTCGACAAGGATTTCTTATGCGAAATTAGTCGTTGACATCCAAATATCTGCCGGCAACCATGGAATGTGCACATTCTCAGAAACGAGCAGCTTTTGAGCAAGCATTAGTTGCCAATATGCTGCTTTGCCAAAGATGTTTTAACTCCCGAGTTGTGGTCTTTCATATTTCAAGAATGGCTGTTGACGTGAGATTTCTGGCACAGGCTGCGTGGCTTCGCTTTCGTGGGCTACACCAGCAAGGCGGATGCAGAGAAGGTGGGCCACCCTCCCTGCGGCAGAGCAGTCACACAGCTCCGCCTTGGAACCTTGCTAAAGAAGCAGTTGCTCCTCAAATTCTTCGACATGGCTTCTTCTCCTTCCTATCTCGTTACCAGAAGACGCTGGGAACCTGTGCAAAGGGCCCGTTGGAGTTATTTGACCCAAGCTCCAAGTTTACGAGTTCCTCCTCACCTGGACTCTGTATACCCAAGTAGCGGTTTCTGGTTTGCACTTGTTTTTCGCACCTCACCGTTTCTAACCGCCACTGTATGCTTGTAGGCCATCGCCTCTCTAAACGGAGCCAAGATCAGCGGGCGTCCAGTGGTGGTCGATTGGGCGGTGGCCAAGAGCCAGTACGAGGCGCACGTGGCTCAAACGCAAGAGCAGGAGCCAGGTGCGGGGCCGGGCAAAAGACCAAGAGGACAGGCGGTCTCCCTGTCGATATTGTTCTCGAGCGAACTTCTGTCGGCACCTCCGACGACAATGTTGCTTCTTTCTTTTGCCCCCAGGACTTTGGACAATGTCGGACGCTTGGAGAAGCATGCTGATTGTGTCTGTATGCTCTCTGCAGTGGGTGAGGAGGATGGCGCCGCGGGGCTCGGCAATGATGACGGCGCAGAGAGCAGCGATGAAGACTCGTATGATCGGGAGGCAGCAGGAGGTGCGCCGGACAGTGAAGAAGAGGGAGTCAGTGACGAGGAGGGGGACCAGGAAGGAAACGACACTGCGGCGGATGGTCGGACAGGAAAGGCGGAGGATGAAGGCGCCATCATGCGGAAGGTGTTAGCAGGGGTAATGCAGGACGATGAAGGGGGCACAGAGGCGGCGGAGGCGGGGGCAGGGGTGGCCTTGGAGGATGACGAAGGTGAGGGCCAGGAGGACTGCAGGATGCGAGCGGGGCCCTCTTCATGTCGTCAGAATAGTTTGTCCAAAGTCAGTCGCAATCATCCAAGTTCTCAAAGCTCAGCCGATTGCTCTCAGGCTGACAGTATCACCTGTTTCGCAAAGGCCACATCATTGCTTCCACCTCAGCTCGAACCTGGTCAGCTCTGGCTCAACCACGCTTAGAGAACCGTACGCCACACTGGTGTGCGTGCAGACGACCCCCATGCTGCACGGCGGGCGCTGTCCCGAGCTGCTGGGCCGCGACCCAAAGAGAACGGCGTTGCAGCTCAGAAGGCCCCCGCCCAACCGGCTGCGGCGCGCACGGAGCGGGCGCCCCCGTGGCGGTTTTGTGCGGGGCCTGCCGTTGGACGTGGACGCGAACGAGGTCCGCCGCAAGCTGGCAGCGTTCGGGATGGTGACGTCATGCCGCCTGGTGAAACATAAGCTGACGGGCAGGGCCAAGGGGACTGCGTTCGTTGACTTTGCCGCCAAGGAGGGTGAGGCATGGCCCCGCACGTCAGCGTATGCGATGAAACTGTTATCTCATGTCATATGCAGTTGCTCGTGCTCACCAAGCGGCCGTATCGAAGCTTTGGCAGACAAAGCGAAGCTCCAGAACTGTGGTCGCGGTCACACCTGGAACAAGCCCCTGCATTCTCTGAAGTCTCCGGGTTGTTGGTTGATTTTGTCTATGGCCTCACCGCTATTTTGCTCGTCAAGTTTGTCGCTGTTTCGACGTGCAAGCTTGTCTGCCGTTGCGATTGGAGTGTGATGGCAATAGGTGGTGCCTGCAAGTTGTCACCTGCGTACTCCTTTCTCGGATTCGGAAGAGGCACGTTTGTTGCAATTGAAGCGCCAGCCAGTATGCGGATTTCCAGGCACCTCATGGCTCGAACGAGGCTTTTATGCCTGAAGGTGTTTGAGTGGCAAGCGTTCTTAGGTCGCCCTGCCGTCTGGTCCTGTATTAATACATTGTCGGACTAGGTTATGAAGCTGATTTACTCCCAGAATTCGCTCGTTCATCGTCAGACGCCCTGTCCCGTGGCTGTCACAGGCGCGGAGGCCGCCGTGGCCGCCAGCAAGGCGGCGAGCGGAGCGGGGCTGGTGATTGGGGGCAAGAGCGTGGTGGCCGACCTGGCGGTGGGCAAGGAGGAGGCCAAGGACATGGCCGTCGGGCTGGCCGTCAGCGTGCGCGACAAGGACAAGAGGAACCTCTACCTCGCAGAGGTGGGGGCACCGCACAACACAACGGGCGGAGAAGCGTGCGCAGCAGAGATAGCCGACGGCTCTGTCACTGCCCTCGTATGTTGCCATACCGCAGATTGCGACCGGCCGTGTCTGCCCCTCAATGCGTGTGTGGATTTGCTGCCCATTTTCAGAGCTCCTGTGCTGACTGCGCGTGTGGCTGTGCTGGCAGGAGGGCGCCATCAAGGACGGAACCGCTGCCGCCGCAGAAATGTCGAAAGCAGATGCTGCCAGGCGGCAAAGGTGAAGCACCGCATGGCTTGTAACTTGCAAACCGCATCATCCGAATCTTCGCTGTCGGACCCTGCCGCTTTCTTGGCAGTTCCTTTGTGGCACGCTGTAAGGCCCCTCGTCTCAAACAATGATATTCACTGTTGAGTCACACGTATCCTGTCTGGACCAGGCTGGCGGCTGAGAAGGCGACCAAGCTGCGGAGCCCCAACTTCTTCGTGTCGCCGACAAGGCTGGCGGTGCACAACGTGCCTAAGGATCTCGACGAGAAGTCCCTCAAGCAGATTGTGATCACCGCCGTCAAGCAGCGCGCCTCCAAGCAGACGCCGCACCTCAAGCAGGTCAGGGCCGCCCATGCGTGGTCGTGCTGTCTGGAAACAACCGTTTCCAGAGCCCAAGACAAAAGTGCCAGTCGTAGTGACCGCTGCAGAGCGCTGTTTTTGGATTCTTGCTCGTCTCGCTGACTAGTGAGATGGTTTCTGGGCGTTAAACAGCTGCTGTTCGACGCCTTTGGCGGTCCGCGACCTGAACGCCCTCGTGCTTTTGAGTGTCCGCAGGTGAAGATCCTGCGCGAGGACAGCAAAGGCGAGAAAGGCGGCCCCAGCAAGTCGCGCGGGGCCGCTTTCGTGGAGTTCACGGAGCATCAGCACGCCCTGGTGGCCCTGCGCGCGCTCAACAACAACCCGGGTGCGCACCTCGCCCGTCATGGCAGCCGCTGCTGCTCCTGCTCATAGCCCTCCTGAACCGTATATGTTTTCAACAATCGGCGACCGCGCAGACAAGCTTTTTCTTGAAGATTGGATGCCTCGCGCTACTTCCTATTCCGAAAGTAAGCTTTGGAGAAGAGCGTCTTCTGAAGATGCATGTCCGGTGTGTGCTACAGGTCCCTTTGGCGTGGAGCACCGGCCCATCGTGGAGTTCGCCATCGAGAACCGGCTCAAGCTGCGGCAGCGCGAGATGCAGCAGGCCAGGAGGGCGGCCCCGCACAATAGGTAAGAAACGAGGCATACTGCTGAGGCGGCATTCGGGCTGCAGTTGTTCTGGGTTCAGAGGGGCGTCTGTCGATACTGATATAATTGATTCGTTAGATTGGAAAACCGTGGATCTCCGTTCGAAGATTGATGGCAATCGCTAGTGCGAGGAAGCAGGCTCTCCGTCCAAGGTGGAGCGCACCGCTGCACGCCGGTAGCATTGCAGGTCGCTGACTCGATTGCCATGCGCTGTGACTGCAGGAAGGAAGATGCGGAGGCTCAAAAAGACGGGGAGAAGGAGATGACGCGGGAAGAGCGCAAGCGGAAGCGGCGGGAGGAGAAGAGGAAAGACAAGAAGGAAGAGCGGTTAAGGAAGAAGCAGCAAGGGAGCATTCAGCCGGCAGGGGACACGGAAGGGGCTGGGCAGGAGGGCGGTCCCGCGGCAGGCAGGCAGGGGAAGAAGCGGAAGCGGGAGGCAAACGGCAGCGGTGCACGGGAACAAGGGGACGGGGGCGGGAAGGCAGGACCGGGGAGGCCCGCGGTGGCCAGTCGAAAGCCAGTGCAGCGGGAACCTGGTCAGGACTTGGCGAAGACTCTGGGCCTGCCAGAAGGGGAGCGAAGGAAGAAGGGGGAGAAGCCGCTGAGCCGCAAGGAGCGGAAGAAGGCGCAAGGAGGCGGGGGAGAGGACCGGCTGGACCGGCTGGTGGCGGAGTACAAGAGCAAGTACTTCCAGGGAGGGGGGTCCCCGGCGGGCAGCAAGGCAGCACAGCCAATCAAAGCGCTGATCGCCCAAGACCTCAGCCGGTGGTATGAATGAGCAGAACCGTTTCCGCGGGTACCCGCTTACATCTTGCCGAAGGGGTCTTGTTTAGCCAGCACTGGCGAATCTGGGCCGCTTTTTCCGGCCGCTCTGAAGTACCAGCGCGCTTAAGACGCAAAAGATCGCCGTCAGCTTCTTCTAGCTTCAACAATCATGAACTTCGCGCATGGACTGCCTCCGGGTACTTATTGTCACTGTTCAGTCATGATTCTAGCGCAGAAGCGAGTCATGCCTTTCTTTTGCAACGTATGTCGTATTTTATCGAGGTGGGTAATCGGTGGCGGGTAGTGAGGGCGTTCTCGTTGTTTCTCGATGGTCTGCCATGTGAAAACCATGGGCTCAAAATGAGTTCTGCGCACATATCTCTCTATGACGAAGCAGCAGCTCAATGGTACCAAGCTCGGTCTGCCCCAACCGGGAATGGCATCGAGCTCAGACCTTGAATGTGATCGAATGATGGAACAAAAACCCGAGCCCGCAATTGCCTTGCTGAGAGTGTGAATATGCACGTACACGTCATAACATTGATGCTTGATATACTTGAGCATGAGCCGCCGATGCCATGTGCATGATGTTCTCTTTTCAAACGCCGTAGCCACATGGGCCATAGGCTTCCATGGCATACATGGGAATAAATGTTTTGAGTTCTGAGCGCCTAGCTACCTCCCAAATCTTGGTGTGCTACATTAGTACATACCTAGTTGATGATGATCATCTGGCACTCATGCATCTAACACACATGGGAAAGCTCTCGACCTTTCCGCTGCACCATGCTCTTACATGATGATGCTTGCAATCACGCATGTATAGCTGTCCATTGCCCCGAAGCACAATCGCAGGCATCTGTACTGGCATGTACTATTAACATGCATATGCAGGTTGAGTTGTTTCGAGACAGTCCTTGAGCTCAATCTTCTGGCTGCCATGAAGACGAATCTTTTGCTTGAGAGATTAAGTGAAAAGGCTGATGTGTGACACAGATAACACACAGTGCATGTGCGGGGGCCATGCGTGTAGAGATTGATGTTACATATTCATGCAGTAAGCTCTCCCACGCTTGCATTACACCATCATACCACCACATCAGGCCATACGTCGCAGAAGTAGACTGCCAAATTCTCCAACGAGCATATACAGGTTTCTTTCCAGGAGTTCTTCTCCCGCGCCAAGATAGCAAGCTAGAACGTTCTCGAGACACGCACCTAGAAGAGCTGGGCACCCTTACCCTTCTTGTCACCACCAATTTCGAAGTGCTTGCACCTCTGTACCACAACAGAAGGAGCTGGTAAATGATTTAAGAACCATGCGGGGACTCTTAGTCACTGAACAGCGGACACCATTCCAGAAGTGTATGGGAAAGAAGGTTGACAATGTAGAACACTACCTTGACCCAAAGCAAGAAGAGCCAAAGGGCTGATGCAGCCAAAAGACAAGCAGGCTTCTTTTGCTTACCTTGAGTGAATGTTGGGTTACGTGCTTGCAGGTCTGGCACTGCAACCTCAGAACAATCTTCTTTGTGGTTTTTGCCTGCATGGTGATACCGTTGAATATCAGAGATGGGACAACTCTTGACCGGCATCGGGCTCTTTTGTGAGTGAGCCAGCTCACAGCCTGCTCAGTCCAACATTATCTTGAGAAAGCAGCTCTCAGTCCACGCTTCCAGGCTTCAGTGGACCATAGACTTCTTGAACTTGTAGCCCCTCAGGCAACGTAAAACGAACAACCTTCCCGTTTGTGGAAGAAACTATCGCCCGCACTGACCAGTACTTTCATGAACTTGGGAAGCTTTCAGTACGCCGCCGGTTCAATTCAATTCCAGCCAATAAGCGGTCAAGCATCGTCAAAGAACCAATGAGAGTGTCGCTATGGTGTTTCAGCTACGTACGGCTAAAGACCGCAATTTCGATATATGTTATGTGCCTGCCGGTTAGTGCAGTCACTGCTTCAACTCCGCTATACGGCCCTCTTCTGGTCTGAATCGGTTGGTGGCCCTCTGAGCTTATCAAAGGACAAGACGGAATGAAACACACACTTTCTCGGCCTTGCAGACAGGGCCCACGGACCAGGTTGACAAGTGGTCGCAACGTGGGGTTGCCAGCAACCTTGCTAACACTGGTCCGAGACAAACTGATTGCGAAACGTGCTCGTTTATTCTGTCAATGATTCCTTGTTCCAACCCCACTTCTTCAATCGGCACTTCACTCGATAGCCAGGACACCGCAATGGCCAAACCCTAACCATCACTGGCAAGTCGCTCTACTGGCATGTTGCTCTGAAGCCCGCAAGCGGGCTGCTGTAACTGACCCCAATGTGCTTCAGATCATCGACTCAGTATAAACTACATACTTGTATCGGAGTCACATCCAGACACGGTAGAACCCGTATCATATAAGAAGAGATGCTCAACAACCGAACTGGCAAGGAATCAGCTGACGGCGGCTTTCTTCACTTCCAGTCCAGAAACAGGCCCGAGCTGTAAACACCATTACCGCCACAGAAAGGAAAGAGCAGAGAACTTATTCACGAGGAACATACCTTCTTGTGGAACACGGGCTTGGTCTGCCCTCCGAACCCAGACTGCTTCCTGTCATACCGCCTCTTCCCCTGGGCATACAAACTATCCTTGCCCTTCTTGTACTGCGTGACCTTGTGCAGGGTGTGCTTTGAGCACTCCTTTGAATTGCAAAAGGACTTCTTGGTCTTTGGAACGTTCACCTGCAACGCGACGGGACTGAAAACTGAGCAACGCACCAACCCCGCGGGCCTGCAGGACATCTAAGATTACTACAATCAAGCACAATCCAGCAAAAGTGTTCTAAGACGGCGATTGCTTGCCCCTTCCTGTCATCTCTGACAAAACTCAAATTGCAAACCGTTCAAGCCCCGTAAAACCAGATACAGGTACTCCCAAATCGCAAGCACCCTCAAGCGCGCTCAACAAAATCAGCATCTCAGGTTTGCAGCTTATATCTTGGAAAATCACGCAAACTCCTGTGTAAGCAATCAGATTCCATCTCACAGGACTTACCATGGTTGCCCCAGGTGCGGAAACCCTCCCGAGCGATCTGAAGTAGCTCACAAGCGCCCCGAGCTCGCCGGGCCCAAGGGAAGAGACAAGCAGAAAAGAGGACGATGCAAAGCTCTGTTTCATGCTTGAGTCTCATCACGGTAACCATTACCACTACGAGTCACGTCCCGCGACCAGACCGGGCCCGGCGAGCTCCTAGACCGGGCGGCGGGCGGCTACGTAGCCCCCCGGGGTGTCATATTTGCTTGCTCGGCGAACTTCCAGGACCCAGCCGCAAAGTCCGGTATGCACAGAGGGCGCAAACGCCAGGTAAAAGTTGCCAGATAGCAAAATGGGAAGTCGAGATTTCTTTCGCGTATGAAGTGCCCACAAGTTCAAATTGGTTTGAATAGGCATCAATAAGGTATGTACCAATTTCCGCCAAAAATCCTAAGCGTTTGACCCCCCTCCAAAAGCCACGAATAATGGCAATTTAGCTGGTGAAATGGGACATATGGTCATATACGCCACCATACGAAGGGCACCGCCGGTGGCGGCACAAGTATGAAAGTGGTTTTGGAAGGGTCTTATGGTGTAGAAAGCACCTGCCAATTTCGGGTTTGCCCGCCCCCGGCGGTGCTCTTGATCTCTGCTAGCGAAGAACCGCTCACAAGCAACCCAAAATCGCTTTTGTCCCACGATAAGGATTTTGAGGCCCCACTGGCCACTGATCAGTGGTAGTGAGCCTAGGTTCAGCCCTTGAGTTGAGTCGAGGCTCGTCGACGGCGGTCAAATTGGGGCCCGAGTCAAATTCTCGGCGCCGAGCCGAGTAGGTCTCGATCTCACGGTAAA